GCGGGTCTCCCTGCGCGACCCGAAAGGTGAAGCGGCGGTGGACGATGAAGATGAAGATGATGAATTCAAGACGGGCTTTAAATTATTTTTTTAAACATTCATGCATAGATCAATGAAACAAATCGTAAATCTAAGTGAAAGCAACCGAAGGGAAAATCGAGAAGGTAAAATAACATTGAGGGTACGAATTTTGATGAAGTCACAACGGAAACGCTGAATGATGCTTGCACTCTACTGCGGTTATTTGCTTCGACCCGTTTAGAAGTTGAGTTATTTAATATGTGGAAGAAATTTGTAATATTGTAAATAACAAAATGAAACTGCAGGCTACAGTAAGCTAAAAACATCTCATCTTTATTACATCTTTCAATCTTCTATGCAATCGCTGCAAAAAACGATACAGATCACGATATATGTGTTATTCCCCTCCCCCTTTGCTCCGTTTAAAACTAATTTTGGTGCGATACTGCACTATGAGATCTTATGATATGCCTGACTATATTTCAAGTCCCATGTGAATTTTTGGCAATGGCAGATGTCAAGCTGTGGTCACCGCGGCAGGCGTTATTTTATCATCGATTTGTCCCTCTGTACTTCTACAAAACATACTCTGCTGCGTTCATAAGATTGCTGCTCATTAGACTGCTTCGCGAGTAGCCATATTTAGAAAAAGTAAATGAAAGATTATAGCCTTAATCGGATGATGACAACGAATTCACCTTTTTTGAAGACAAATAGTACCGGAACCAGAAAACAAAACAGTGTACACATCACAAAAGCGATGAACTGCATCATTCTAAGCATTAAGCTAGCTAAAGATAAACAAGCGAACGTATTATTGGCACAGTCGGAGCAGAATCGCAAAGAAAACCAGTAAATAAAAGAGAAACAAAGCGATGGCACATTGCGCAAATTTTAGCGGAGGTATCTGACGTTACTGACGTACTGAAGAATATGCACTGAGACAGAGACTGTGGATTTTTGATGCAGTTTTTGTCCATAAAATAACGGCAACATTCAGTCAATACCCGAATCGTGTGGATGAGGTTCATGAGATGCATTGTGTGAGGGTGCAACGCAATGCTTGGATACATTATCGAAGCTGCAGTAACCGATGCTTGAGAAACTGAAATCTAACTACGTACTCACTGTCACTGTCTCTCGCTTCATGCCATGTAAACAACTTTTTCTTCTGTCGTCTGGCTGGAGGAAATAACTAGAAACTTCATAGGTCAATGTCAAAAGTTTTAAGCCAGTGAATGGCACCCGCGGTAGCATTCTGGACTTCAGTTATGCTGCCGTCGAACTTTCGCAGCGGACATTCGAAAATAATGTGCTGCATAGTCTCATCATAATGATTGCAGTCACACTGCGGGTTGGACTTCATCTTCCAGCGATGGTGTGGGTTATGTGTCCATAGCGTCTTGGCCTGTTCGATTCCTGTTTAATTTCGACAATTCTAGGCGATTCAAGTCCATGTCAAGGAGTTCTGTGGTCGGATTGGAGATTAGATATTTGTTACGGACAGCTGTAGCGTCCCATTCTGCTCGCCACCGTTCCTCGAGACTCAGACGTGGAGTCGTTGCTCGTTCCCATGGTGGGTGGCGTGATTTCAGGCGTCGTGCGGTTGGCTGTTGGGGAACACGATGGACAGGTAGCTGGTGATTCCTATCAGTGTTGTGGAAAATGCGGTACGCCAGCTCGACCCACTGGAGGTGAGGAGGTTCATTGTGCGTCAGAATCGCTAACCATTGTGCTTGGGTTGGCATCGGGGATCCTGTTACTATTCGCATTGCCTCTTTGAGCTGTATGTCTAATTTGTTCGTGTAGCAGCTGTGGCACCAAACAGGGAAGCAATACTCCACGACAGAACGCGCAAGCGCCAAGGCCGTAGTACGCAGCACACGGCCACCTGTTCCCCAAGAGGTGTCGGCAAGTTTTCCTAACAAGTTTATTCTCGT